ATTACTTACATCAGTTTGGGGAGAGCTACTATCTTTGCAGTCCATACATGAGGTATGCCTTTCCATTTCTAAATTTTATTTTCAAATCTAATTTTATTGCTGATACATAGAAATAAAATTAATGTGTATATATTCACATTGTTTTTGCCAACCTTACAAAATTTATTTAGTATTTCTAATAATTTCCCTCTAGATTATGATGACCATTTTAAATTCAACTTTTATTTGTTGGTTTCTTTTAATGAGTCATGGATGTTATAATCTTTTCTTTTTTTCTTTTTTTTTTTTTTTTGCTTGGTTAGCATAAAGGCTTTTAGACAAACAACTTAAATTGATTTTTGTGACAACTCGTTTTATTGCCAAAATTTGGCTGAGGAACCTGAACAATTTAAGTGAACAATACATTACATTTCTATACATATGACCTTTACCTTTCGAATCTTTCCTTGAGGTCATTTTAAATTCCAGGCTTTTCATAATCCCACACATTCAATGTCTGCTGTGCGTGGGAGTTCTCATCAGCAGTTTGTCCCTGAAATTACACCCCAGACGTCTCTGATGCATAATGACTTTCCATTGGCAAAACATACCCATGCTGTCCTGTTCCTTATGCCCCAGATCTGGCACCAGCTACCCTCCTGGGAACCCAGATTTCTCTCGGTAGAGGATGTTGTAAAAGGCCCAAGCCTCAATGCCATTGATCCTTAGATGGTTCTGCAGGCATGGACAGGGTGACAGTCAAAAGTCACAAATTAATGCTAATGTGTCCAGTTTTATAATTCCACTAAAAAATATGGATTTCTAATGCAAGAACATTTAAATCGGCATTATCAAAACATCTGGCATATAAAATATATTTTCTTTCCATCGAAGCATGTGTTTAGAGATCCTAAAATTTAAATGACTTTCTAACCATTATAAAGTTTTATACTTTATAAAACTTGAACTTTTTCCAACTTATGGCTTCATCTTAAAAACCTCACATATGAAAACTATGATTAGCTGCTTTTGGTCAGTGTGTAGGGGACCATATCCATCATCCCTGGTACATTTTGAGAGCAGCAAGGGCTGCCGTTGATAATGACACTACAACAACAGATGGAACCAGAATTGTCCTGGCCAAACTTGGATTTACAGCCCCTACCGGTGGGCCTGTAGTTTTGAAACTTTTAAAGTTAACTTACTTATAAAGTATATACTTATATAAAGTTACCTTACATATTTATATAACATACACTTAAATCATAGATAACAATTTTTATATTGCATGGTTTTAAAAATGAGTAATGTCAATTTTACCCAAATTCAACTTTCAGTAGGTTTGCTTGCATCTAAGAATCTCAGCCAAACCTATTCAAATGTATTCAAAACTTCACAGTAAAGTCTGGTGCTCACAGAGAACTCAACTCAGTCAAAATTTTATTACCTAAAATAAGCAACACAAAATTATTTCATGAAATCTGTCCCCTTAAAGCAAGCCAAGAACTGCTGCTTCCTTTGGCAGAAGGCTATTAGCATTCTTGGATGGTTGTAGGCACCCTAACTTCTACATGACTCACTGCTTGAGTTGGGGTCTCAATGGGGCCCCCAAACAGACCATTGGTCATATTTTGTCCATGTCACCCACGTAGACATCTACACCTCCATGCCATATGGTACAAAAGCCTCGCTGCTTTGGAAGTGCCAACCGTCTGCCCATTGGTTTCTCCCAGCTTTGTTAACTCAGCAACTACAAAGCAATTGCTTGAAGTGAAAACTCTAAATATAGGAAATTAAAACAACACTTAAAGAGAGTAGTGATTTATCCAAACTTTTCTCTTTAAAAAGAAAACCATATAAGCATCATTTGAGGGCATTGTTAAAATATTTGTCTTCTTTGTTACCTTTTTCTAGAGATCATATTACATTGGTCATCATTTATGTTCCATGACCAGTTTCCTAAGAAGACAACTGTCAGTCACATATTCAAATGTGTTGGATTAACCACATAACCCCTCTGTGTTAATCAGAGAATGAATACGACGTGTATACATAGAGATTAAGCTTAAGGAATTGGCTCATACCACAGGGTAGTCCGGCAGGCTGGAGACCCAGGGAAGAGCTGATGCTGCAGCTCAAGTCCAAAGGCAGGCTGTAGGTAGAATCCCCTCTCCCTTGGGGAAATCAGTCTTTTACTCCAAGGTCTTCAACATTGTGGAGGCGAACCTGCTTTACTCACAAGTCTACTGATTTAAATATTGAGTCTCATCTTTAAAAATACCTTCACAAAAACATCTAGACTAGTGTTTGACTAAATACCCAGGTACCATGGCCTCGCCAAGTTGACAGGTCTTACACTTGGTCACCCCTAGGAGACTGCTTCCGACAGAGGCAAGCCCAGGTTCCCATACCCGCTTGGCTATTTTATAGGTGAGTAAACCAAGTCCTATGTAAAGGTTCAGTGAGTTCATCTCAACAAGTCAGGACAAAAATCCAGCCTCATTGGATGGTGGTTCCCAGCTGTTTCCACCAGGGCATGAACTCAAGACTTATACAGGGGCATTCTTATTTCACTTATTTGGAGTATTACAGCCAAGTGTGAGCCCATTCAAACCATAAACTCTAGCCCTGGCTGGTGTGTCTCAGTGGATTGGGCACCGGCCTGCAGATCAAAGGGTTGCAGGTTCGATTCCCAGTCTAGGGCGTGTGCCTGGGTTGCAGGTCGGGTCCCCGGTGGGGGGACACGTGGGAAGCAGCCACATATTGATGTTTCTCTCCCTCTCTCTAAAAATAAATAAATAAAATCTTAAAAAAAAAAACCAACCATAAACTCTAGGCCAAGGAAATCAACTCTTCTTCTGGGTGTACTTGCACATTCCTATCCTTCAACTTCCTATAATGCAGAGCTCCCCACCCAGCGGACACACACGGAGCCATCCACCGAAGACTTCTCTTTGAAAAGTGCTTTATTCAACAAGATCTAAGTCAGATGCATTAAAACATATCAAAATGTTACAGAAATTCACGGCTCTCTATGAAGCCTTGTCAAATTATGTTACAATATCTAAACGCATACATTTGTAAGTTCAGAACCAAACATTGAACCAGGTCATGTACCATTGCTAAAAGTCAAGTTATAATTAAAAAAAGGAACACTTCACAAAACTAAAATAAGTGGGGAAACCCTTAGGAAACTCTAGCAAAAACACACCAGAAGCCATCAGCCTGTGAAACAGGATTGTGATCTGCCTAGAAGACTCAAAAGTCGATGGAAGCTTTCCCTTCACAGCATGTCCATGTCTTGTGCTCGGTTAAAACACAGGAGGCGCTGTAACCTCCTGTGATAGGGTAACCGCTTTAAATTACATCCGAAAGAAAGGCTGACACATTCTTTTTATTTCTACCTCAATAGATCATTTTCCTATCTCATCTGATTCAAGCAAGACTTTGTGTAAAACAATTTAAGTAGATTCCCAAAAATTCACACTGCTGCCTCTGCGGGGCTTGAAATCTCATCTGTCTCCTATCCCAGCCCCCACATCATGGTGTGGTCACTTAAGACTCTGAAATTCCCTTGTTCAGACAGAAATGTCTGTCTTTGGAGATGCATGTATGACACCATGTTCTCCATGCCCAGAGCTTTGAAATAACTTTTTTTCTTTTTAAGAGAGATCTTTCTTAGAAAGAGGTTCTTGCCCTCCCGTGGCCCATTCCACCCTTCTGACACGGAAATAACCACCCAACTCTGCAGAAGAGTTCCTACCAAGACGTTTTTGCACTGGAGAACAGTTATTTTTTTTGTCATTGCCAGTCTTATCTACACTGATGTAGATAGTGTCTTTATCTGGAGATTTCCAAAAGAAGAGTATAGGCTGTTACTGGTTTTTTGTTGTTGTTGTTGTTGCTATTTCTTCTAGTAGGGAGAAGGCTGAAAATACTCCTCCCTGAAGTCTCAGACCAAAACCTCAACCTCTGGTCTCAGCAGCTTCCCCTGGATGGGTGGCTAATCTGAGACCCTCATGCCTCAATCTCAACTCCTAGTTAAAGTCTGTCCAGCCGGGAGACCAGCGGCACAGGCCTCCCCAGCTCGCACAGCCTCACCCACCCTTTGTGCTTTCCGTCCCTCCCCCAGGTAACCCTGCCCGTTTAACTCATCCCCTTCCCACTAATGCGATCACAGAGAATGTGATCTTGTGCTTAATTCCACCATCACCTGGGGGAAAGGACACCCTTTCCAGCCAGATGGACTCAGGTTTTTCTTCATTTGATCACCTCGTAACATAAGCCCCTGGCAAAAGAAAGTTTTGGCTCTAACTGCTTTTCACAAGTTAGGGAAAAAGCCTATAAATTGGCCTTTGTTCTTCACATGATTTCAGGTTCATTGCACACAATTACATAAACCCACACAAATCAGTTGACAAGTTTAAAGCTGCAGGCCCATCTGATACCAATGAGAAAATCCAGCTCCACACCATGGAGAAGTGTCTATTTCACCTGCTGCTGTTTCAAAAAACTTTTCCAAAAATCCTGATTGGGTTATTAGGATGTGAGAAATGGTCTCTAAACAGGGTGGGCCAAGATGGGAATGTGTGGCCTGCATTAAATGGAATGCGCATTGTGTAAAATACGTTTCCCCTCATTTCCATCCCAACTCCCCATCTTTAAAGAGCCAAGTCTACCTTAGCACTTTCTTAGAAAGTGATCTGACAAACCTGACATTTTACATTTCCACATTTAACACTATCCTGGTGCTAGTGCAAATTACAGGGGAATTTTACAAACAGAAGGAGCTGTCCAATAGAAGTTAGAGGTTAGTCTTTGCTTAGTGGAAATTCTTCTCCCTGGCCCTCTTAAGGAGAATTATTGGGGTGAAGGCTTTGAGCATTCAACATAAAAATAACTGGAAGAGAAGTTTTCCAAGCCGTTTCCTCGAACGCAGAACTCAGGAAGCATGTTTGCACTTATGCACTGCTCTTTCCCACCGGTAACAAAGGAAGCTTCCCCTCCACCCTTCCCCCCCCCCCCAAGTCTGTGCATTTTGCAAAGCCCACCAAGGTGTTTGATTGAGACTAAGGCCCTCCGGATTTCCCCACTGGGCTGTTGGTGCTGTCCTCACAGAAGAGGTAGGCTTGCTGAGACCCCTGGAAAAATGCCAGGTGGCAGCATGCCACCTTTTTAAAAGTCAACAATAAGACCACAGCTGTGAGCCATCTAAAGAGGCCACAAAGGCCACAGCAGTGGGAAGGGAGTGGGAGGGTGCCTGGGGCAGGAACAGGTCTACTGCGAAGATCTACCTTCCTTGCAGGTACCAATCAATGGTTCTCCTTTCTTCAACTGGCCAGCTCTTCAAACCATTCTTAGAGAAGAGGTGGAGAAGAGATGGGGAGCGTCCCGTCCCCAACAAGGCTCACAGGAATCTGCTGTCAAGAGCTCCTGACCTTGCTTGGTGGATCTCGACAGCCAGGCACTCTGCTCCAAGCACGGGCCCGTCCCTCTTCAAATAGTACCAGTCACATGGATGTCAGCTGCCTGGCAATCTTTCTGATGGGGGCTACAGGGGACAGACTGTCCCTGTTCTTGTCCCCTGACTGGGGTCTGCTCTAAGGATCACCGGGGTGGCTGCTCAGAGAAGCTGAAAGAGAAGCTCCATCCTCCCTCTGCACCTTCACAGGGCAGCCCAGAGTGCTTCCCTGAACCCCACACTCAGTCAAGCCCTCGTTCTTGGGAGTCCACTTCCACAAGGCAAGGGCGACTTGCAAGAATCCAGTCTTGGAAAGAATAAAGCCTTGAATAAAACACACAGAAGTGCCGCTTCAAGTGCAGAAAGACCCCTTGCTGATGTGAAAATGGGCTGTGCCCACAGGCACCTGTCATGTCTGCAAGGAGCCGCTGCGCTTCCCTAAGGAGGCACGCTTTCTGGCCTCCACGCCAGAACAAGCCCAGACCTAGGTCACACTAGCCAGTCAGTGCCATGTGCAAACCAGGGAGGCCTGTTTCATGAGATCCTTCCTGCAACCCAAGGAGGCATCGAAGCATTGGGGTCAGCAGCTTGGCCTGCTGCAGGAAACATCAGGCCCCCGCCTGTCTCCTAGAGGGGGCCACGGAGGTGAAGACAGAGGCAGAATCCATTCTTTACAGGCATCCGCAGAGATCACCACATACCTCTTTGTTATTTAAAACCAAAGTTTCCAGTGTAAAAACATGGGCTTATTGCATCCACCCCACTGCTGGTTTATCTTTCTCTTTCCATGAGACCTGCCCCAAGTGCATGGGGCTGTCATTTCGTTCATTTCCAAGAGTCTCATGGTCACAGATCCTTCTGGACATACAGGGAGAATCTCTACTAATATCAACACCCCAAATGGGAGCTCGCTGAGCCCCCTGACCCTTCTGAACATGGGCAGATATGTGTGGCTGCTCCCAGGCACTTGAGGAGAGACATTTTTCTCCAGCCTAAAACCCCTCAGCTTGGTGCCTCCCCTGATTTTCCTGCCCATGAGTAGCCCATCCGCCAGCCTCAGGGCACTTGTGCTGGTTGCTTGGAACTTAAATGCATGTGAATATGTCGTGTAGGCACATGGACATGTATATGTGTGCACACATGTGTGGACGTGTGTGTGCTCACAGATACACATTTTGGGTCCTCCTAATAACAAAAAAGCAAAAGTGTTTGTGAATGAAAGAAAGAAGAGCAGGGATTCAAGGATGGGGAGCTTTCTTCTGGCTTCTCCATCCAGGAGCGGAAGAGGTTTTTAAATGCTTCTGTGGAACGAAGGCACTCGGCTTCCTGTGGGTCTTCTTGTGTCAATGTAGCCTTTGTGGTGTCTGGATCCCCTCCTTCTTGTGGCTCAGATTGTTTCTGGGGTCTCGGCTATCTCCTCCAGCCTCTGCCGAATCATTAGCCGGAGCACAGTGTACCTGGGGACAGAAACAGCTGCGGTGGAGAAGAGAAGGCAACACACACCTCCTTGCGACCCTACTTCTCAGCCTAGATCACAGTGTGGGTGACTGTTCTGTCCCTTTGCTTCTGCCATTGGCCCACTATAGCTACTTGGCTGCTGTGTTCATTTCCACAACAGAATAAGAAGGGCTGAAGAGGCTAACTCCAAACTGGATTATTTTACTTTAATTAGAAAGTCTGGCTAAGGAGGACAAGAGGGTGAAATAACAGAAGCAATAATAAGAGTCCCATTAACTGAGTGCTTACTATGTCCAAGGCACTATGCGTACCAGGGGTGTCCAACCCGTGGTCCACAGGCTGCATGTGGCCTAGGATGGCCGTGAGTGTGGCCCAACACAAAACCATACATTTCCTTAAAACCTCTTTTTTGTTCATCAGTTTTCATTAGTATTTATGTATTTAATGTGTGGCCCAAGACAGCTCTTCTTCTTCCAGTGTGGCCTAGAGATACCAAAAGGCTGGACACCCCTGGAACTTTCATGCACAATAAGAATTATCTTCACCTGGGCTAGACCATGTGAAATTACTATTATTTGACCATTATGGGGGTGCTTACAGAAATGTCGTTCAACCTAATGTCAGTTCCTGCATTTTGCAGAAGATACCATAGCAACTATCAGGCAGGGAGGTCCATGGCTCATTGGTGAGTGGAGTACCCCCACCCCTCTCCTGAACTATGGCGATGCAAACACTGGAGTGGGCACCCCTGGGCGTGGCTACAGGGGATATTCCTTATGTTCAGGGCTTTGTGCTGCACAACAAAAGCTGTTTTTAAAGTTTGGCACATAGTAAGTGTTCACTAAGTGTCAACTGCTATCATACTAGTTATTATCATTGATACAGCAAATACAGCATTGGCTTTATTCTGTAGTGGCAAAAAAAAATCAATCAATTGTTCTACTTTATGACTATGTATAGCAAAAATAAAAATAATAAAATCCTCTCCAGAGAAAAGTTTTATTGGGTTTGCCAACCCAAATGCCATTTCCACCAGAGAAATGTTAAAAAGAGGAAAAGGGTGCGAGGAAAGGACCTCAGAGGTAGGCTGCTCAGACTACATGCCACTGCTGAGACAACCTTCCTAAAGTGCCCAGGACATTTTCATGTCTCACATCAAAATGAGAAGCTGACGTGAGACGCAGAGAGACCAAAGATGCTGAAGTTTTGTGTCCCCATCTGGGATGTGGATTCACCGATGGGAAGGCCCCTGAAGAAGGCCCCTGAGACCCAGACCCACGTGGCTGCCCGGCACCGTGCAAGGCACCTGGACAGACAGTGTCTCACGGAGGCCCCAGCAGAAACCCAACCAGCCAGCTGGGGGCCCGGCTTACTTGCGCATCAGCTTCTTTACTTCCCGATCTTCCTCCTCCTGGAGCTTCTGAATGAAGCTTTTCAGGACAGGCATCTCAAACTTTATATACTGGGCCACCTGGGGAGGAAGAAGTAAGTCTGGGATGCATGTTCCTTCCCAGAATTATTCCAATGCCTTCTGGTGTGTGTCTCTCATGGAAGGCACAAAGCCTCAGGAAATCTATTTCTGCATTAATCCAGGATTTCCTTAAAGGCAGGAGGCAAGCCTCATTCTTCCCAAGGCTGGCATGGAGTCTGCAGTGAAGATCCCTTCATTTATATGACACTTATGTCATTACCTCTCATTCTTCATCTCATGTATCCAGTCCTTGCTGAGGTGATGTCAGACATGGAACAGCACTTGGTCCTGATTCCATGATGCAGACAAACACCTGAACCCCTGATAGTTCATATACCTCTCTGTTCTCCCCTAAGAGAATTTAAGGCACCATGACTCAGAATGATGACTGTGTCTGAGGTCTCAAACAGTCATCCCAACGTGAACTTGATCCTGACAGGCTGTGGGGGTGGGGTGGCTCCCAGGTGAGCTGAAGTTAAACAACTGTTCCTTCCTTCTCCACCAGAGTCCCCAGCCTACTCTATCTACCCTTCTCCATGGGAGAAGTATATTTCTCCACCCTCTTCGTGTTGGACTTGACTATGAGACTTGCTTTGGTCAATGGAATGTTATGGACATGACATACAGCAAATTTGAGTAGAAGCTTTAAATGGGCTCACACAGTTTGGCCTGGCCTCTTGCACTCCAGCCATCTACAATGAAAAGCGTACCCCAGGAAGCCACGGCCCCTTGAGCCTGGGTCTCTGAATAAGACATGCAATGAAGACCCTCAATCCCCAGCCTAGAGCAGAGCTGCTGCTACCAGCCTGCAGAATCCTGAACAAAAAGTAAATGTTTGCTGCTATCAGCTGCTAAGATTTGGGGATGTGTCTTACTACAACAAAAACTGACTAATATACTTCTTGATGTTGCTAAGAGGGAGTTTGCAGAAACTTCTCGGCTGTCTTATAGTACCCCAGAAAAGCTCAAGATATTTACTACCTCTTTGGAAGTCACTTTGTGCCTGGACATTCCTCCAACGACTTGCAAGAGGCACATCCTCAACCTAATCTCCACACTCATTCTTCTGGCCCCATGGCCATTACTACTTCAGAAAAATCTTGCATTGAGGAATGGCAACAAAATGGGGAATGGTCCTTGACCAAAAAGTCAGGTAACCCAAACAAAACCCCACTCTCCTGAGGCCAGTCCATCGACTCAAAAAGGACTCACATCATAGGTGACTTCCTCCACCTGGTCCTTCTCCATAAGGAACACTTTGGAGACCTGCTCACACGGGCCCTGGAGGATTCGGGCAATCAGCGGATAATCGGTGTTCTTCAGCTTCTGTTTTTCTGCAACCACACACAGCCAGAGGCAGCCCTGAGCTTGGCGTGAGGACTTTGTTATCATAAGTAGGGTTCAACTCAGGGACCCAAATGAACCAGGCACCTTAGGATATGTGGCCATACAAGTCAGGAGACTGGTTTGCAAATGAACAATTCAATAGGTGCGGCCCAAAGCAAGTGTTCCCCCTCCTCCCTCCCCAACAATACTGCCAGGCCTCAGACCCGTTGGAAGATGCTACAATGGATGAATTGGTTTTATCTGTCTCTTGAGAAAATCCAGTTCCTTTTTTAATAGTCAGTTAGGTTTCAGGGTTTGTTTACTGACCACACATCACACTCCACCAGTTTTGGAGGCAAACAGCATTTGAAAGTTTCCAAATGATAAACAAGAAGCAAATGACGGAGAGGGTAGTTTTGTGTGTGTATGGTTTTTATTTAACTTGCTATTTTGAGTTAATTAAAAGTCTTAAAAGCACACTGTGTTCTTCAGACTTACCACCGCTGGTATGGACCACGTACAAAGCAAACTCCTCCGCCGAATTCTCTATCTGAATCAGGAGCAAAAGATGCTTGCTGAAAGCAGGCATTACACATCTGAACTTTGAGCCATTCCTGCCTTATCACTGCAAAGCTAAATAGATTTTGGGCTTTTTCAGGGGAGGGCTATTTACTTGCAGCTCTCAGAAGTGATAGGGAAATGGGGCAGCAGGTTATGTTATCAATAATAACAGATAGGGGCTAACATTTATTGGGCTGGGCGAGGTGTTTCTACACACCTTACATTTTAATTCCCCAAATACAACCCCCTAATAGGGTGTTGCTATCCTCATTTTACAGATGAGGAAGCAGAAGCACAGGGAGATTAAATAACTTGTCCAACTCCTGCAACCAGCTAGTAGGTGACGAATGGAGACATGAACCCAGAGCCTGTGCCCTTAGACCCCTTGGTGACACCGCCGTCCACTAAAATAAGAATACCCAGTCTCCCACAGACATAGTAAGGGGATTGTGAGAAACATATAGAGTGACAAGACTTTTAAAACACTCCTGCACTATAACGTGCACATCTATTGAAGGTCCATTTTCAAAGGAGGTTCCCCAGCTGTGGTCCCGAAACTGATCTGTGCACAGGACCCCAAAACTGGTTGTCAGGCCCGCAGTCCTTCCAGGGGCCCATAAAGCACCGTGGGCTGGTGCTACCCAGGCTTCTGTGGCACAGGAATTCCCTGCATCCCTTGCTGAGCAGGTGCCCTGGCCTCTCCTCCAAGCTTCGGACTCAGCCAGTCTGATTCAGGGGAGGGGCCTGAGAGGCTGCTTTTCTAGCCCGTTCCCATGGGATGCTGATGCCTGGGGTCTGAAGAACCCAAACTTCAGCCTGGTGCCCCCTCACCACACACCCTCCACAGCCCCCTCCTCTATACCTCTGGGACCCCCAAGACACTCGTGCTGCCCGTCTGAGGCCAACCAGCAGAGGGTACTTGCCTTAAATTTGTTGAGCAGCAGTTTGAGGACCTGCGGGGTGGTCATGGTGCTGTTGATGCGGACGTTGGTGACAGAGCCGTAGGCCGGGGTAAACACTGACGTCTGTCAATAGAGGGGTCCAGCTCAGGGCAGAAGTGGGGACAAGCACGGGATCTAAAACCCAGGAATCCCACCCTGTTACCTGGGGTAAAGGGCACAGGGACAATCACACCCAAGCCATGCTCCCTGACTGCCTTTGCATAACATGGCACGCACTGGGCTTTGACGTCAACGAAGAGCCCTCAGCTTTGGCTAATTCAGGTGCTCGAGGAGTCTGAGGATTCCAAGCGGCAGGGTTGGGGAGGGGGAAGAAGACTAAATAAGGGAGGCCCTCTCTCCCAATAAAACACATACAAAGTCCTTCCCACTGCGACTTCAACATGAAGAGGACTCTGACCACATTCCCATGATGTATCTGCTTCTGAGGCCAGATTTGAACCAGGAAGCAGGAGGAAGGGAGAGTCAGCTAATTGGGGTGGAACAGGTGGGGTCCTGATGCCCCTTCACCTGAGCCTCACAGTTCTGCTGGGGGTGCTGCCCTTGGCTCATGGAAAAGTCAGACCACACAGCAGCTGAGAGGCACACGGTGCAGGAAGAGAGTAACACAGGGGTTTGCTCATATCCAGCGAGGGGTGTCTGTGGGGTCATCTCACCCACCACCTAGGGAGTCTCCTGACTTGGGATCCCTTGCTCCTCACAGAGCCAGCCACCCACCCGCAACTCAAAGACTTAACAGCAAACACTTGGCTTCCCAGGTGTCTGTAGCCCTGAAGAGGTGGCTGCTTAGGAAGAGGCTTGGCCCGCCTTCAGGCTGCCCTCCACCCCCTACCACTCTGTGCCCTCTACCTTGTGGTTGTAGAAATGGCCATTGATGGAGAAGCGGTGGCGTCTGATTCGCCGCTGGTCGCTGGGTGTCCTCACATTGCCCCGGCGACGCACCCCAACGTCACTGCGTGTGCGCATCAGCTGCGGGGTATCTTCCTGCAGGGGCTTCAGGCCCTTGGAGTCTGAGAGGGAGGGGGAAAAGGAGCTGTCTGCCTGGACCCAGCATGTGGCAGTTGGCACATGGTACCCTCTTGGTGGCCAGTGCTACGGCACCTACCACCTCCCCAAAAACATATTTTATAAAATCGGTATTTCCTGCTCGGGGAAAAGACACAATGCAAACTTTACGGAGAAGCAATACAGTGACGCACAGACTTCAGAGCCATACTACCAGATTCAAATCCAACTCTACCATTACTATAGAACACTAACCTCTCTTGCCTCAGTTTCCTCATCTGTGAGATGGGGATAATAATAGCACTCACCTCACGGGACTGTTGTGAGGGTTTAACTGAGTTAATTCATATAAAGTACTTAGAGCGGTGTCTGGCAGAGGATAAGCAAGATACAAAAACTTTCAAGATATTGCAAGCTGATTATCTATCAAAATTACAAATGTACGAAGCCTCAGACCCAGAAATTCCACCTGAAAGAATCCTGCAAACACTGGCAAATGTGTGAAATGACACATCAACAAGGCCACTGACTGCAACCTTGTTAGTCATAGCAAAAGACTAGAAATGACTTAAAAATCAATCAGTAGGGGATGATTACAGAAGTGGTCATTTTTCCACACAATGGAATACTGCAGAGCTGTGAAGACTGCAGAAGTTCTTTATGGATTTATATGGAACAACCCTCAAGATAAACTGATAAATAGAAACAGAGATGTGCAAATGCTACCACTTATATAAAGGGGGAAGAAAAGAAATGACATCCAACTATAAAGGTTTGTGGGTGTGTATTTGCTTATGTTTGCAAAGAATATCTCAGGAGGAATGCCTTTAGGTTGCTTCTATGGAGGGAGCTGTGTAATATGGGTACCATATTTTGTCATGTATAATGTATACCTACTTTTCTGGCCCAAACTCTCAGGAAAAAAAAGATTTCATTTAAATTTTTAATTCAATTATTTATTTATTTATTTATATTTAAATGCTTGTTTTTTGTATTATAAAGGAATTCTAGCATTTATTTTTGAACATATTATGGTACAAGAAATTTTATGTAACAAATAATTACAAAACGCAAGAACAGATACAAGTATTTCAGGTAGTACCCACGTATAATGTGCATCCTTATACTTCCCTCAAAAATTTGGGCAAAAAGTGCGCATTATGCACAGTAAAATATGGTAGATTAAATGGAAAACTTTATATTCTTTTAAATAGTTTTGAATCTTGAGTCATGTGGATTTTACTTATTCAGAAAATAAATAACCATTTATAACATCTATCGCATCTGTCTTCATACAGCTGGCCCCAAACTGGAGGGTCCTCCCACCATGCATGTACCTGTGGGGCTTGATGTCTGGTCACTCTCAGCTGGAGTGTCCACCTCTGTGATCTGAATGTTGGGCATGGTGAGGGGCTTCAGGATGGTGCTGGGGGCAGAAAACAGACAAAAGAGAGGCTGGCTCAGCCCCTATGGGGAGATACCCTCACTCCCACCCCACGCTGTTTCTGTACAGGGAGCACTTTGCTTGTGCCAGGCTGGGGATTAAGGATTTGGATGGGCTGTGCTGAGTGTCCCATGAGGCTAGACCAGCTCCAGGCTGAGCACTGGGTGAGGAGGGGAGGTCGGGAGAGAGAAGCTGCTCATTCCCAGCAGCTGCAGCCACATAAGCACCCAATTCATCAAGGCCAGGATGAAAAACAGCGAAGAACAAAACCCATGTGTTGCCTGCACTGAATTTCTAAGCATGTGTCGCTTCTATAGCTTATTTGGAAATCCCCAATAATGGTCATTTATCTCTCGGGACAACGTTCCAGTTCTGATCCACTTCTGTTGGAGAAATAACTCAGAAACTGCTTCGGCATCTAAGAGGAATGGAAAGTAATAGGTGAGCTGCCACAAGGGCCAGGGTGGCTTTAGAAGGGGTGCTGATGACAGCATTCTTGGGGTTACAGGGACTGAGTAGTGTTCATGAACCACCCTGAGAAAGAGCCTCAGGCTGGCAGTGTGAGCTGAGACCTGCTGTTGCCATGATAACTGGCAAATATTACTCCTCAAAGTTGAAAAGGGCACTGGACACAGTTCAAAGAAATGTACCTGAAATTAACATAGGATTTGGCCAGAAATGAGAACCATATTTAACCATTAGGACCATCCCATGGTGAGAAGAGCATGAGCTTGCTGGAACCCAGTAGATAGATAGGACTCATGTAAGGGATGATAATTTTAAGGGAAGACAATTAAAATGGAAAACCTAAAGGAACTTCCTATTGTAGTATAACCTATGGACTTCTGGCCCCAGAATGGAACTAGTCAGAGCCTCTCAGGAGTGGTCAACACTCAGCACCCACTCCTTCTTTCTCCAAAGTCCTCTTTCTTCTTGAAGCAGAAACTGGTCTCAGCATCCTTCTTAACACAGTGGTCCAGGCATTCACTGTATTACAGCAGGCATCTGGAATGACGTTATTTACATTCTGAATACTCAGTATTTGCAGGTTTCAAGAACCAACCAATAGCTTGATGCTTCAGGGAAGGGAAAAGAAACAAGTGTGCAGAGTGAAGGACCCTTCAGCAGGCCCAGAAAAAGGCCACGAGGTCTAATGAAATTTCAAAAATCATCTCACTTAGGGAATGGAATGTAACCTAGCCTGGGTGTCGGGTGGGGCTGTGGAAAGAATTTGGCGCACTGGAAATCAAGTCCAGTAAGAGTGCTGCATGCAGAGCAGAGTGTGAAGAACAGCAAAAACAGATGAAACTGCAGAGCCGTGGCCAGACATTTCAGAATTTGATGGGATGCGCAAAGACTTTCCTCCTTAAATTCTCTTGGAAAACAACCAGATCAGCTCCAGGGCTTGGCCACAGTATAGGTTCCTCTCAACTTTAGAGAAAGATAGCTTTGGCTGTGGAGTTTAACAAAATGTCTAATGTGGCCAACAGAGACGGCTTGGATCTCATTTAAAATAGAAAAACTATCATCACTGTGGTCTTGGCAGAGAGGTTGACATGCTCAACCCGTGCTCTGGTCAGAAGGCAGTCAGCATCAGCAAGTTTCAAGATGAAACAGGCTAGTCACTTGACCTTAAAAACTGAAGTCCCAGAAAGACAGTAGGGAGGGCGTGCCTTACTAGATGCACTCAGCTACTCATTTGGCAGAGGGAGGGAGGAACAGGCTCAGCCTTCACAGATTGTCCAGTGGGGACTCAGAAGAGAGCACCTCCCAGGCTCTGACTATCACACCACTACATACTCCATTTGGCTGGCTTGGACGGGGTCTGATATTCCTTTTCCTCTTCCAGGTTTGCCCAAACATGGAAAGCTCCGGTCTGAAGGTTCGAGCCCTAAATGTCTCCAGAGCGGGATCTCTCTATGCGGTGGTCCCAGTGGGGAGGATGTTGGGACATCAGGTGTCCTGTCAGAAACCTGCATGCGGGCTGGGCCTGGCTGGTGGCCACCAATGCCTCTCAGAGACTTGGGAACTCTCCATGAAGCAGAACACACTGCTTACCAGGCTTTGGTGCTTCTCTCTGACTCAGCATCTCCTCTCCTCATTCCGATTGTCACTCAGTAATTGTGGTGACAGGTGTAGAAGCCTGATCACACCAACGCCTGCCCCCTTCCCCTCATCCCAAAGCACAGCAGGTGGGCCGTGAAGGAGGTAGGAACAGGAGCTGGGGGCAAGGCTGGCTGGGAGAAGGTGCCGTCTACCCGCTCAAGAACAAACAGAACTCTCAGACACCCTAGAAAACCCTAGTCTTTACTTACCCCTGAGCCCCCAAGTTACAGCCAGAGTGCCAGGAGGAAGAGGAGGGAGGGGGGCGAATGCGCTCGTTGTCATCCTGCATCTGCAGACGGATGGGCCGGCGCAGCCCCCAGGAGATGTTCAGCAGCCCCTCCACAATGAACTCATCTTCTTCCTGCCACAAAGCAAATGGTGTGGTAAGTCCAGAAGAAAAGCCCAGCAGAAGGGCGTACCATGCTGGGGGACCAGTGACAGCATCCTGAATGGGTCCTGGCAGGGCGCAGCTGAGTTATATTCACACCCCAGCTCCGAGACGCTCCCCACTGTAAACTACCCTGAGGCCATGAAGGTGACCTCGCAGGCCAGCACACAAGTTGCCTCGCAATTCAAGTACACATGTGCAAAATATAATAATTCAGTGTTTTTTTACACTAATGACTCTAAAGAGAGAAGAATATATTTCTTAAAGTAAGACTGGCCTTACTAACAGAATTAGCTATTTTCCCCTCCTGTGGAAAATGATGTCTTTAGCTACAGCATATGTTTAGCAATGTGACCTGCTGGGTGAAGGAGATTTAAAGTAATATTTACCCAAGTTTATTCTACGGAATATACAGAATACCTAGCCAAATAGAGAATACAGAATCCTCTAGCAATCAGTTGTTACCTTAAAAGGGGTGTTAAGTCATCGTGAGTTGGGAGATGTTAATCAGATTTCTTAACAGCAGAACTTCCAGAGCCTATAATGAGCTAATGTGCTATATTATGACTACCCAAGACGTGAACAAATCTGGCAAGAATTCCAAATTTATAGTCAAGGGTGATTCACTAATAAGAAGTTATGTGAAAACCTTCTAAGGGCATTTGCATAATCCAGAGAAATGGATCGCCTATATGACCATAAAACTCTTTAATCACCAAGCATTTTGAGAATTTCTTCTATAGGACACACCCCAAAAAAGCTGTTTAAGGACAAAAGTCTTGTTAATGGCCCAGCCACTAATAAGTAGAAGCTTTGACATCAATGCCTAAAAGGTTCAGGCTTTCTTTGCCAAGCCTCAGAAAAATCTTTTTTGGGCAGGGCCCACAGATGTCAGATCTGAGCCATGGATACATCCTCAGGACAAGCCCCATGGGTGAAAATGATACCTGACCCGTAGACAACTAACCAGAGCCGCAGATCATCCTTAGAGAAGGAGGGGGAATAAAAGAACAGAGGAGAGGATCTGAGCAACATTAGGACATTTGTGGATCTTGGGGAGAAGGGCTTTATTTAAGTACCAACTGCATATATGGCCTTCTTGGTGGTCAAGGCCGCTACCACTGCTTTACATTCCATTCTTCTAGGACAGAATCTAACCCAAAGTAGGGCTTTGCCTAAGTTGACTTGTTTGAGGGACAAAGAAAAGGCCACTCCATCTACATACTATCCCCAACAGCCTGCCTTAGTAGCTGAAATTCTACCATCTGATATCTTTTTCTATGGTTTAAATCACCCTATCTTAATAACCTGAAAATGTGTTTACACATAAGAAGGGTATTATACATACCTTCTTATCAGTCAAGGACACTTGAGTATAAATTACTCTGCCAGGCTCCTATATAACTCCCATCTATCTGATAACAGGCTTTACAGAAATGGATACAGGATGAGTAAGCTTAGATGCAGGATGGGGGCTGGGAAAAGACAGATGACTAACAAATGGTATTCCAAGAAGGCACCCTCAGAAGGCCACTGCAGTTGTGGAGAAAAGTGAGGGGTACCAGCAGAGCTTAGGTGATTTACCCAGGTTGCTGCAACAATAAGACATGGGCTGAAATATGTAAACATAGAGGACTAGGAAGTTTCCAGAATTGCTAAAATTGCGAGCCATCTGGAAGGGTCATTTCACAGAAGCCTCCCTTTGGAGGGCCCCCCTCTGTGAGGCTGGGGCTAGTGCAGTCACAAATCCAAGGGCTGTCTCTGGAATAGAAGAGCTTGCCCTTTCTGGAACAACTTTGGACCCGGGGTCTCCTTCCAAAGAACATCAGGATCTCTTGTTAATATGCTAAAGAAGCAACTCACTGTGGCAGGAGGACAGGGACAGAGTACACAGGGCCCCTCAGACCCCGGACAGATGGAGACAAAGACTGGGCTGGCCTTCCAGTGAGTGAGCCTCAGAGCCCTCCCCTGGGAACTCCTCACCTCACGGTGTCGGAGCTGCAAATTCTGGCCTTCATAGTACAAGTTGTAGGTCTTCAAATGCAGAAGAAGTTCATTCCTTAGGGGAAGAAAATACAAGAGGTATAACAGTCTTAGCTGAAGCCACTTATAATGCAGTTGTTCCCTCTTTTCTCACCTCTAACCTGGCCCTCAGTCACCCCAGTCTGGGAGCTTGTCCACACGTGTGTACATGCACACACATGGCATCCTATGCCACCCCCATCACCATCTTCACCCAGGATCAAGAGTAAACACCACCCAGAACAGACTGAAGGTGAAGAGCAACTCTAGAAAACCAAGGCTGCCTTGTGTGCTGATGAAGGCTGGCAGCTCTGACAACACTCCTCAAATCCAAGCTATATAAGCAGTCCTTACTTAAGTCACAGATTCACAGAGGCAACCACACTTGAGAGCCCACAGACAGGGTTTGTCCTGCCTCTCAGCCTTCCCTCCCTCATGCATGCTGGAAGTCAGGAGAGGACGATCCCTACCGACTTGTTTCACTCAGAAAAGCTCAGAAACTTCTAGGTTTTTGAGAAAAAAAAGGACAGTTCTGGTTCCACTGACTTATGTTTCATGGACATGACCTTATCATGTGTTTAAAAACTTACAAACTCCCATCAACAGTGGAATGGATGAATAAAGGCAGCTATATAAATAGTCACACAATGAAATATTATATGGCAATGAGAATAAGAATAAACTACATACAACATAGATGAATCTCAGATATTATATTGAGTAAAAGCTAGACACAAAAGATCAGCTGCTGTCTGATTCCATTCACCGTAATTCGCCATGTACTATGAACACTTTTTTGCCCAAAAATTTGAGGGAAGAATAAGGATGCACATTATACATGGGTAATACCTGAAATATCTTGTATCTGTTCTTGTGTTCTGTAGTTGTTTGTTACATAAAATTTCTTGTGCCATAATATGTTCATAAATAAATGCTAAAATTCCTTTATAATACAAAAAAAAAAACCCCACAAGTATCTAAATATAAATATATAAATAATTGAATTTAAAAAATTAAAATGAAAGATTTTTTTCTCTGAAAGCTTGGGCCAAAAAATGCGGGTGTGCATTACACATGGCTAAATACAGTATATAAAGTTTGAAATGGGTGTCAGAATTCAGGATAGGGGGTCTCCTTGGGGAGTAGTGACCAGAAGTGGGCATGAGGGGGTCTGGGCCCTGGTGATATTCTATTCTGGGTGCTTTTGTCTTATTCTATCCTGGGTGCCTTTCACTTACTAAAAATTTTTTTTTTTTAACTTTCAAGCCCCCTCTGAAGGCTGGTACCAGGCCTTCTTAGCTGCTAAATACTGGCTTCCAGGCATTCCTCTGGGACACGGCTCTACTAAACATGGGAGAGAGATGCTACATGCCCGTTGTGATCAGGGTAAGCCCTCGTCAAACCTGAGAATAGTCTGATCAAGTTTTGTTTACAAATGTGTGCTAGTGCATGAGGTCTTGGAGGGAGAGAAGCTCGAGGAGGCTGCAGTGTGCTTTTGCCTGTTCCCAAAAAGGGGCAATGGAGTTTGGTTCTTCTAAATCCAGCCACTCAATAGGGATGTTTGAGGAAGTGCCAGAGATCAAAGCTGGTTGGAAATTCTAAGAAGCTCCAAAAAAGCTAAACCCCGAAGAAGTGGAGTAATTCTACACAAGCCGAAATGACCTAGTAAAAGATGTGACACTAAATATCCTAAAACAAAAACCATTTGGTACTTTTGAACACACAGATGTGAAACTAGGAGGTAAAATTACTGGTTAGTAGAAGCCCCTGGGGAAATCCACCCATGAAGCCATAAGAATGACCCATATCTCACACAACTGTGTGTCTGTAGATGACCAAGGGTGTCTAAAATAATTAATACAATTTGGACTCAGAAAAATTAAACATTTAGTTAAGACAGAGAGCATCCAGTATGCGTAAATCCCTGTGCTGGATATAAAAATACATCCTGAAACTTATAATTCAAAAGAGTCTCTTTTGGCTCAGCCCTGTCACATGACCAAAAAGCTGACTTCAAGAGATTTTAGTGCCTATAAAGCAATGACAGGGTCTCCTCCTGCTGGGGGGGGCGGGGGGGGGCGGGGCCTGTGCCTATTTTAGCCAGACCCACAGCAGCACAGGCACTCAGCTCAGCTGAGACTCCCCCAGGAGACACCACAGACACAACATTGAGCAGCCACTGCAAACTCCTCCTCCTGGAAGTCCTCCAGGACACCATCTCTTCTGAGCTTTCAAAAGTTCTATATCTTAAAGGCCCCCTTTACTTCACTCTCTATGGCCAAGCTCTGGGGACTTGTTTTCTAGAGCAGCAACCTTGCTGATGCTCCTACTAGTCCACACTTAGCTGCTTACTTAGCTCTTTCTCACACATAAGAAAGAGCCCCAGCTCTCCTGTGTACAAAGGAAGCATCTCTGCCCATGGCTTCCATCCACACAGGACTGGCCACGGGGGACGCACAACACAACAGCAAAAAGTCTTACTTGGAAATGTATTTATCTTTTCCACATGGGACTAGGGACGTTTGGTGGCTGTAGTCCATTCTTCCTTTCTCTTTTCATCAGAAGGAGAGACCTATATTTGAAAGAAGAAGACAAAAGTTAGAGTCAGGTTGTGTCCTTAGAAATCAGCAGAATTTGGGCCAAGGGACCAGGGGCACGTGGTTCTCTGTGCCTTTTCCAGATCCATAGCTGAGGCAGCCCAATGGTGACCCAGGACTAATGACAAGCTACACTGCTGGCTGCCACCTCTGCTTGCCACAGCCTCAGAAAAAAAAAGCACCCAAAGGAAAGATGACAACCCTTGGACAGCCCCAGAACAAGTGCCCGAGCCACAGAGAATGTTGACACCTCGCTTGTTTCCAAGGACAACCAGCGAGTCTTCCCTGAAGAAACCTTCACAATACAGAATAGAGATTCATCTGACAGGGGGAGCTCAGACTCTACTGAGGAATATTAAAGATTGGTAAATAATCTAAAAATGCCCAGATAATGCTGGGCTCAATAAATTGCAGCATATACATCTATAATCACCATTAAAATATGATATTGTGAAGGCAATTACTGGAAAAATGATGATACATTATGAAAATACAGGTTACAAACCTACGAGTCTACTAATGTTTAAAATATATGTAAGCATAAAATATGCATATGTATACATTTATTTGAATAAATATATGTTCATATATTCAATTACATATACATTAACACACACACAGTCAGTCCTCAGCTTTACCGACAGGTTCTGTGACTTTAAGCAAAACGATGTATAATGTAACAATTTTACCATAGGTTAATTTATATAAACAAGAGGTAAGTGCCTAAGGCATTTCATCAACATTACAATAGAATGCCATTGAATGAAACACATTATTTGAGCCTGCTCTGTGTGTGTGTGTATACAGTCTCATACATGTCTATATATATACATATAGATGTCAAGATTTCTCAACTTCAGCACTATTGACCTTTGGGACTAGATCATTCTTTGCTGTCCTGTGCATTGGGGGATGTTTAGCAGCATCCCAAGCCTCCACCCACTAGATGCCAACAGCTGTACCTCCCCTGTCATGACAATCAAAAATGTCTCCAGACATTACTATGCGTCCCTGGGAGCTAAATTGCACCATTTGAGAACCCCTGGTATATGCATATATGTGTATAAATGAAGGAAAGGCTGGCTGTTTCTGGGTAATGGCATTACCAGAAATTTATTTTATTATGAGAATTTTCAAACATAAACTGATATCTTTAATGTTTCCTCTTTCATTTCTGATTTTATTTATTTGAGTTGTTTCTCTTCTTTTCTTCGTCTAGTTAAAGGGTTGCCAACATAAAGTTGCAGAAATAAGACAATGGGTAGCCATGGTAGAATACTCTTAACATTTACTTTCATCACATATCTGTCCATCTATACATGCCTCTAGCCATTCAACAATCCATCTTAGAAGAAATCAAAAGGGAAATCAAAAATATCTTGAAACAAAAAACTGAAACACAACATACCAAAAGTTGTGAGATACAGAAAAAGCAGTTCTAAGAGGAAAGTTTATAGCAATAAATAATACAGTAATAAAAAATAAATGTCCCAAATAAACAACCTAATTTTATACATCAAGGAACTAGAAAAAGAGAAACAAACTAAGCCCAAAATTAGCACAAGAAAATAACAAAGAGCAGAGCAGAAATAAATGAAACAGAGACCAGAACAGCAAAATAGGAAAGATCAATGAAACTAAGAGCTTGTTTCTGAAAAGATAAACAAAATTGTCAAACCATTAACTTATACACCAACAAACTAAATAACCTGGAAAAAAAATAGATAAATCCCTAAAAATGTACAACCTACCAAGACTAAATTGTGAAAAAAACAGAAAAACTGAACAGACCAACAATAAGTAAAATTGAATCAGTAATTAAAAACCTCCCAAAAAGAAAAGCCCAGGCCCAGATTGTTTCATTGGTGAATACTACCCAACATTTAAAGAAGAACTGAGGCCAATCATTCTCAGACCCTTCCAAAAAATTAAAGAGGAGAGAACACTCCCAAACTCATTTCACTATACCAGTATTACCCCGATACCAAAGCCAGGTAAGAGCGCTATAAAAAAAGAAAGAAAGAAAACTATAGGTCAATACACCTGATGAATATAAATGCAAAAATTCTCAACAAAATACTGCCAAACTAAATTCAACAGTGCATTAAATGGATCATATTACATGATCAATGGGATTTATCTCAGGAATGTAAGAATGGTTTAACATACTCAAGTCAATAAATGTGATACATCACATTAATCAAATGAAAGATAAAAATTATTCGATCATCTCAATAGATGCTAAAAAGGCATATGATAAAATTCAACATCTTTCATGATAAAAATTCCAACATATTCAATATAGAAAGAATGTACTTCTACATAATAAAAACCAGATATGACAAGCCCAGAGCTAACATCAAACTCAATGATAAAAACTGACAGCTTTTCCTCTAAGATCAGGAATCAGATAAGAGTACCTATTCTCATCTTCACCAGAGCAATCAGGCCACAAAAATAAGTAAAAGGCATCCAAATCAGTAAGGAAGAACTAAAACTGTCTCTGCTCATAGATGATATGATCTTGTATGTAAAAAATCCTAAAGACTACACCAAAAAAACTGTTAGGCTTAATCAACAAATTCAGTAGAGTCGCAGCATACAAAATCAGTAGCGTACTTATACACTAACAACAAACTATCTGAAAAAGAAATAAAGAAAATAATTCCACTTACAATGGCATCAGAAATAATAAAATACTTAGGAATAAATTTAATCAAGGAGTTGAAATATCTATACATTTAAACTTATATAACTGATGAAAGAAACTGAAGACAAAAATAAATGAGAAGATATCACATGTTCATGGATCAGAAAGAAGAATATTGTTAAAATGTCAATATTACCCAAAGCTATCTCTAGATCCAATACAATTCCTATCAAAATTCCAAAGGCATTTTTCATAGAAATAGAGAAAAATCCTAAACTTTGTATGGAACCACAACAGACCTCAAATAAGCAAAGCAATCCTGACAAAAACGAACAAATCTGGAGGCATCAAACTTCCTGATTTCAAACTATACTACAAAGCTGTAGTAACCAAAGCAGTATGATACTGGCACATAGACCAGTGGAGCAGAATTAAGAGTTCACAAATAAACCCATGCATATATACTCAATGGGGAAACAAAAGTCTCTTAACATTAGAAAAGACTAGATACTCAACATGCAAAAGAATGAAACTGAGCCTTTATTTTACACCACTTATAAAAATTGAAGTAGATTAGACTTAAATGTAAAACCTGAAATCAAAAACATTCTTAAAGAAAATATAAAGAAAAACCTTTTTGGCATTGATCTTGGCAACAATTTTTCAGATATAATACCAAAAGCACAAGCAACAAAAGCAGAAATAAGTGAGGCTACAACAAACTAGAAAACTTCTGTACAGCAAAAGAAACAATCAGGAAAATGAAAAAGCAATCTATAGAATAGGAGAAAATACTTGCACGCCATATATGGCATAAGTGATTAACATACAAAATATATTTTTTTAAGATTTTATTTATTTATTTTTAGAGAACGGGAAAGAGAGACATCAATGTGTGGCTGCCTCTCGTGCACCCCCTACTGGGGACCTGGCCATGTGCCCTGACTGGGAATCGAACTGGTGTCCCTTTGGTTTGCAGGCCTGCACTCAATCCACTGAGCCACACCAGCCACAGTATAATATACAAAATATAAGGAACTCATATCATTCAATAGCAAAAAACCCACAAATATTCCACTTTAAAATGAGCCAAGGACCTGAATAGACATTTCTCCAGAGAGTACATACAAATGGCCAATTGCCATATGAAAAGATGCTCAACATTATTAATCATCGGGAAAATGCAAAGTAAAACAACAATGAGATATCCTCTCATACCTGTCAGAATGGCTATCATCAATAAATCAACAAACAGCAAGTACTGGTGAGGATGTAGAGAAAAGAGAACCTTCATGCATTCTTAGTGGGGTTGTAAATTGGTGCAGCCACTACAAAAACACTATGGAAGTTCCTCACAAAATTAAAAATAAAGCTGCCATTCAACCCAACAATTTCACTTCTGGGTATACATCGGGGTGAGGGGGAACAACTACTAATTTAAAAAGATATATGTAGCCCTATGCTCACTGCAGCATTACTTACAATAGCCAAGATACAGAACAGTCAAGAGACATCCATCAATAGATGAGTGGATAAAGATATGATTGGCATATATAATGGAATATTACTCATAAAAAAGAATGAAATCTTGCCATTTGCAACAACATGGATGGACCTAAAGGGCATTATGCTAAATGAAAAAAGTCAGAGAAAGACAAACAACATGTGATTTCACTTATAAGTGGACTCTAAAAAAATAAAACAAATGAATAAATGAAACAAAACAGAAACAGACCCATAGCTACAGAGAACAAGCTGATGGTTGCCAAAGGGGAAGAACATGCAGGGGTGGAGGAAAAAAAGACCCAAAACCCAGACGGCATAATAAAAAAATTGATAACAATCTGTAAAAATTTTAAATTTCTGTTTAGGAAAAAAACTTACCCTACCCAAAGTCAAAAGGCAAATGACAAGTTGTGGAAAAATATTTACAATACATATGAAAAAAGGCTAATGTCCTTAATATGTACAGGGCTTTAATAAATCAATAAGAAAAAGATTCTACACTCCCTAAAAACTGGTCAGAGGACATGAACAGATAATTCACAGAAAAATAAATACAAAGAGCTAATAACATATGAAATCTTTCTCATCACTGTATTTTTACTTACCAATTGATACAAAGCCAACAGCAAATCATAACATACTAGATATATTAGAATTTAGCTTTTACTTAAAATTATTCTGAAGGGTCATAGCTCCACTGAGGGTTGTAGGCCTGTCTGTAAAGCTTAAAACAACAGATGAGTGTACACTGTGAAGTGCAAAATGTATAGCTCTGTTCTTCTCTTTCTGTTCTTAGGCTAACCAAGGTGTCTCATCTCT